AGTGGAAATAAATACGCAGGGAATATCAGCTGTCTGGCAATGAAACAATGCTGAGGCAACGAAAACTGAAGAGTTTTATCTGTCTCCAATCCAAAAGAATTCCAGCATGATCTTGACAGAGAAGCCTAAATAAAAACTTCAAGGGAAAAAAGATATTCCACTTTAAAGCAAAGCTACCTAATCACATGTTTTCATGGAAATGTTTTGCCATGAGACAGTTCCTGGGAGATGCTTCATCTACAAGAGCAAACTCAAAACCACAGCACTGGACACGAGCTCTGCAGCATTGGGAACTGGCTCAGATACTCTGAGGTCCCACCGGCCACAGGCCACACAATCAGAGGCACTCACCAAGGCTCCCATTACCACCTCAGCCATTTCACAAACCACCTTCTACATAATCCAGCCTGCTCAAAACAAGTATGACTTGTAGAGCCATTTCTTCCATGGAAACACAAAGCTGCTGCCCAGCTCAGGAGCAGGCATGGCGTGCCCAGCCTCAGTGCCCAGCGAGCCAGGCGGGATGGGGCACAGGGGCAGGAGCCCTCGGACACCACAGTCACCCTCACACCACTTAAGTACTGTGTCAATTAGGCACCTAATTGCTGCCAGGTAAACTGTGCCCACGGCCATGGGCAGGACTCCTGGCACCATACCATGTCACCACACTATGGACCTCTGGCTCATGGAGCCCAGAGCCCCAGCCCAGGGATCTGGGGTGGCCAGGGGGATCAATACCTGTCTTTGGCTCGAGGGGCTCTGGGCCAGGGCCTTCTCCAAGAGCCCTCTCCTCTCCTCTCCTCTCCTCTCCTCATCTCACCTGCTCCCCTGTGAACATCAAACCCTTCCCCTTCCTCTGCAGCCTCTTAGTTCTCCAGGAACCAACAGCAAGAGCTGCTACAGAAATCAAAACAATGGCCCTCACTATTCCAGGTCGGGCTGCAGGCACTCAGCCAACCATCACTGTGACCACCACCCAGCCAGCAAGCCCATGGGCTACTTGGGCATGGAGCCGAGGCCTCCACCCCTCCTTGGGAGCCCCACTAAGACCGACAGCAGCTGCAGAGAACTCACACAGGGACACAGAGCCACCCCTGCAGCAGGGCTCTGTGGGAACACCCTTGACAGCCTGGATCTGTGCACTGCAGTGGAATTCCATAACCGACGTTACTTCAAGATTTGTCATTTTGTTTTCAGAATGGCATCTCAAACTCCAGAGTACCAGAAGGTGTATCTGACTAATTTGAAGCAAATGTTTCTATTTTGCTGCAAAGTGCATGATTATTTGATAAAAATTTCTAGAAAGAATGGTTCACTTCAGCAACAAAACCTTATACTTTGGATGACGTTTGGATTTGGTTTTCCAGGCTTGAGCACATCTCCAGTGCTGCTTCTGTTTGACCACATTTCTCCCTGCTACCCAGCCACAAAGACAACAGGCTTTTGTTTCCAAAGCATTTTAGGCATGTACCTCAAGAACAGTTTTTATTTAAAACAAACACACACACATAAGCCTCTCCTAGCACAAACTTCATCGGATAGTGTCAGCAAGCATGTTTCAATAGCATGATATTGAAAAGTAATTTTACTACTAGCTAGAAAAGTCTGAAGACTGCAGAGGATATATTTAGATGTGTATAAATAGATAACACTCAGTGATGTCTGGTCCAAGGAGTACAAATCTTCCCTAATGCATGGAATATGCCTGGCCCAAAACGCTTGAGCAGCACTTACACAGCCTTTTCAGGCTGGCTCAGGTTCTGAGCCCGCTAATAGCCAGGCCATTAGAGTGGCGCTCGGGCCCAGCTGCTTGTGCAGGGAATATGCAGAGATTGCTCTATAAAACCCAGCCCGTTACCACATCTGAAAGCACAGGCAGGATCGATCAGCAATGGAAAGCCATTAGCTCTCCAGCCTCTGAACTATCTCCACGTGCCCCAGTGGAGGGACAAGCCCTCCAGGCACCTCGGGATGCTCCACCTCCCCAAGACAGGCACCCTGTGTGTCCAGGCCATCCTTCTTGATGCACTTGCTTCCGTGTCCCCTCTAATCTTTCACCAAAAAAAATTCTTGCCATGCTGCTCAGCCACATCTCTTCTTGGGTTCCCCACATTCCCAGCCAGCCCAGATCCTGGGCTGGGCAGCTACCTCTCAGCCTCCTCCCCTTAGCCCCATTCACACCTTCAATAGCCAACAGGAGCCTCTCCAGACAACAGACCCGCATGAAAAATTCACACCAAGCCCCTGAGACACCGTCCTGAGCAGTGCTACAGGCGAGCACGGCTTGTCTTGGTTGTAAGGACGACACGAGCGCTCAGCCCACCGGCTCTCGCTGGGATGGGACAATCTGGAGCCCACTTCTACAGCTGCATGTGTTTGGTGGAATGGGTCAATCTCAAGTCCCCCTCTGTAGCTGGAAGTGTTTGGTGAACAGCCAAGCTAGTTCAGCTTTAACTTGCACTGGGTACCTGAGATGTCCAGGATTTGCTTCCACTGACTGCCCTGCCATGATAAAACCAGGAACTGCTCTTTCCGAAAGCAGAAAGATGAAGTAATATGCCAGGAGATGTATCTTAGAAAGGCTTGTAACTGGAGGCCAAACTGGCAAGCTCTGGTGTGCATTATGATCCAGTCTTACGCATTTAAACACATTTATTATGCATTTAAACAAATGCATAATCCCTTGAGTACAGTATATATTTAGCAACGTGGATTGGGAAGGTGTTGGGCACTGAGAACACTCAGCCTCTGATACAGCTGCTTGTGCAAAATCAAACCTGACTCCCAGACCAGCAGTGGAATTGCCAGGCCTGGCACATCTCTATCTGCCAGGACCGACTGGCAATACCACAGAGTCCATGGGCCAGCTCCAAGGTTTGGCTTGTACCCAGGACCAGGTGCCCACTCTGAGTCTTTGTGGCATCCAGGTGTCCAGGCTGGGATGCAGTCCTGCCACACCAGGACAGACTGGTCCCAGCACATGCAGTCCATTTGGGCAGCACTGCCCCATGCTCCTGGACACAGCCACGGCCAGGATCGCTGCTGCCAGAACCAGCCCAGACCTCTCCATCTGCAGATGCGCAGCTGGAACCAAAGAGGCTTCAATTCCAGGATGGATTCACTTGGCCTCGCCAGTGTGTGCTGTCTGGCTGCACTGGCCTGAGCAGCCCTGGCCACGCAGCGCTCGCCCGAGGATGCTCAGAAGGAACAAGCTGACACCACGTGTCACACAGGAACATGCAAAATGGAAGCGTGGGTAGGGAGGATCACGAGCACGACAGCGCAATGGCCAAGGGCAGGGACTCCCAGCCTGTCCAGTTCACTCAGCCAAAGGCCACAAGGCTGGGCTTGGCTGGGGGCACCTGCTGTCCCACCCCTGGTCTCCAGGACTGGTGAGGCCGGGTTCATGACCGCAGCTGGGACCAACACATCTCTCTGCTCCACACACACAACATAATGAGTGCCCCGGAGATGCAACAGACCGGGAGGGAGGAGGCAAAAGTGCAGGAAGGGAAGAGCTGGTGTCCCAGGATACAGAGGAACCGGAGAGCCAGTGCTCCCCAGTCTATGCTGGGAAGGACCAGCCCGGGAAGAGGCTTCCCCAGCACACCTGGCCCAGCCGTGCCCGGTCTCACAGCCGCTGCCGGCCGCAGCTGGGCTCCCGGAGCCGGGAGGGCTGATGCTCCGACACCAACATGGCTGCGAGGCTCCGCCGGCTCCTCCGCCGCTGCTCTGCCGTCTCCCCAACGGGAACCTGCTGGCGGGGAAGGTCCATTCTGTCCTACATTTCTTCTCCCGCATACAGCGGTGTTCGCCACGGAGGGGCGGAGGGGACGGAGGAGAAGGGGGCGCAGCCACATCCCGGGACGCGGGGGACCACGGCGGCCCAAGGGAGAGAGCCGGGGGGAGAGCGGCGTGTGTGCGGCGGCCGGGGGCGCGGGGACGGGGCGGGAAGATGGGGCGGGGGAGCCGAGAGGTTCCTGCGCCCTCTGGCAGAGCGCCGCACCCCCCGAGCACCCCGAGCCACCCTGAGAGTGCCCCGGGATGGCTCCGCGCACGGCGGCGCCTCCGCCCGCTCGGGCAGCGCCGCAGCGCCAGCGGTGCCGGGTAACCGGGCGGCGGCGGCGGCGGCACCGCGGCGCGGAGGGGGCGGCGGCCGCGGCACGGGCGGCCCCGCAGCATCGCAGCCTGGCAGAATCTCCGGCCCCGCAGCATCCCCAGCCCAGCCCATCCCAGCCCAGCCCAGCCCAGGCAGCGCGGGCGGCCGCCGGCGCCGTCCCGCGGGCAGCGGCGGCAGCGCGGCGCGGCTCGGCTCGGCTCGGCTCGGCTCGGCTCGGCTCGGCTCGGCTCGGCTCGGCTCGGCTCGGCTCGGGTCGGCTCGGCTCGGCTCGGCTCGGCTCGGCTCGGCTCGGCTCGGCTCGGCCCGGCCCGGCCCGGCCGCCCCCCCGCCCCACCGCTCCGCGCTCCCCGCGGCCGCCGCCCTCCCGGGAAGGGCGTCGTCCCGGCGCCCCCGCCGCGCCGTGGAGTCGTCCTGACCGGGACGTTCGGCACCGGCCGGGCCGCCCTTCACCCTCCCGCCCCGTCCCCTGGGCCAGTACCGCGGTGCAATGCAGATGTGCCGGGCGCGACTCCCCCGGCGTTACCTGGTGCCTCCGGGGACGGGCGGCGGCCGGAGCGCGTCCCCTGCGGGTGCGGCCGCGGCCGGGCCCCGGCGGGCTGCGGGCGCTGGCGGCAGGCGGGCTGCCCGCCGCTCCGCCCCGAGCCGGCGCTCACCACCCGCATCCTACCGCGGGTCCGCGGCGGAGCTGCCCGCGGCCGGGGCGGGCAGGGCGGCCCGGGGACGGCCCCACGCGGCGGCTCGGGCGGGCGGCGGCACACGCACACACGCGCGGCGGGGGCGGGAGGCGCGGGACAACCCGCCCGCATCAGCCCGCCCGCATCGCCCCGCACCGGGCAGCCCGCCCCGTTCTGCTCCCGCCGGCGCTGACCTTGCCGTGTACCTGCGCCAGGTTAATCCTCGCCAAACGCTGCCGCTCCGCACCCCGCTGCGGGATCCTGCGCGCCGGGCGCTGAGCTGGACGGACGGACGGACGGACGGACGGATGGACAGACGGACGTGGCCGAGGCGCGGGCAGCCCCGCCGCCGGGCCGGCGCCTCCCGGGTGCGGGTGCCGCTAGCGCGGGGCGGCCGGCGGCAGGGCCATGCGGCTCCGCGCCGCTCGGCGCCGGGCGCGCTCAGGCGGAGCAGCCGCGGCGGCGGGCGCTGCGGCGGGGCAGAGCGGGGAGCGCGGCGCCCGCGGCTCGGCCCTCCGCGGCGGCGGCAGCTGCGCCCATCCTCCGCGCCGCCGGCCTCCGCCCGGCCCCGGCCCCGGCCCCGGCCGCGGGCAGCCGCGCCGCTCGCTGCCGCATGGAGCAGCCGCCGCCTCCCCCGCGCCGCGCCGCGCCGGGGCGGGCTGGAGCAGCCGGGCCCTCCCCGCCCCGCCGCACGCACGGCTGAGCCGCAGCCGCCCGACCGCCGCCGCGCAGACGTGCGGCCGGGCCGCCCCCCGCCGCGCCGGGCTCGGGGCTGCGCCGGGCTCGGGGCTGCGCGCCGCCGGGCGGGACCAGGCGCGGGCACGGACACGGACACGGACACGGACACGGACACGGACACGGACACGGACACGGACACGGACACGGACACGCCTCCGCCTGTCCCGCCACGCCGGGGCCGGGCTGCGGCGACGGGCACCGAGAGCGGCCGCGGCTCTCGGGGCACCCCACAGCCCTCCCCCGGGCACCTCCCCGGGCCCCGGCGCCAGAGCGGTCGGCGGGCGGTGCGCGGAGTTTGACCTGGCCACAGATGCACCGGCGGAGCCGTCCCGCGGCGCGGAGCGGCAGCGCGCGGTGGGAGCGCGGCGGCAGCTCCGCTCCGCTCCGCGCTACCCGGCATGGCCAGGGCTCCTGTCCACCCTCGGGACACGCAGCTGCCCGCATCCTGCCGGTCCGAGGACAGGGACTGCAACACTGCACTTCTAGGAGGGATGATCCTGGCAGGAGAAGGAACGGCTGGGTCATCTGTGGGGGCAGTAAATTGAAGCGCTTTTGGGGATTGCGGCATCGTTACCTGTCTTCTGGATGTCTAACAAGGGAGGAGAGTGCATTTCGTGCTATGGAACACTGACACCCTTTTCTAGTGCTCTTTTGTGGGAAAACGCTGGGAATGTTGCAGGACTCGAAGAAGAGGAGCACTGTCTGAAGAGCCTGGAAGAGGGGTTAATTAACGAACCTCGTCAGCGGCCAGTGACCCCGCACCTGGAGGGATGTGCGGGCACGTGCCCTGCCACCACTGGCCAGTGGCCCCGTCTCCCCCGACACCCTCCCCCTGCGATGGGAGGCAGTTGCCGGCTCCTCCGGGGCTGCCCCGGGACTCTCTGCAGCCGGACCAGCCTGCGTGGCTGAGGGAAAAACCCATCGACTGCTCGGCACGCTGGGAGGCAGCGGGAGCAATGCTGCTGGATAACACTGGCATCTTCTCGCTGGGGATGCACGTGGTAGGAGCCCCATTCCAGAAACGGGGAAATGCAGTGGCAGTCCTCATGCCTCTCTGCTGATACCATGCCAAAGTTTTTTTGTGCCTTGGGATGCAGCGTCTGGCATCGGTAAGCGTGAGATGAGGGAACACATCAGTATTCTTGGGCTCAGGGCTGACCGTGTGACCTGAGGACTTTGAAGTGGTCTCCACAGCAGCCCTTGACCCTGGAACACAGCTGCCAGAGCCGCATCACCCTCTGTCCTTCTGACAGCCCCTGAAGCTGTCCAGGGCTGGGCTGCCAGGCTGGGCCTGAGTTAGTGTTTATCTCCAAGTACCAGCTGCTGGTTCACAGAGCTAGCTCGAGCTGTTACAGGGGGAGAGAGGCTGGCAGGAGGAAATGAGTCTAAATCTTCTCTCCCTCAAAGGAAAACTCATGTCAGCTGGTTTTGCTGGGGTGGTCTCTGCCCCACACTCAGTCCTAGCACTGGTGTCCTTTGGAGCTGGGAGCAGTATCGTGCTCAGCCCTGATTTGGCATTGACAGTGTGCTCCCCTGTGGAGACAAGAGAGACAATAAGATGCTTCTTGGTAAGACATCCATGGTCTTGGCTGGCATCAACCAGTGTCTTGGGCTTCAGGTTCAAGCATTTGCTGCTCTGTCAGTTCTCTGCTGCCCCAGAAGCAAGGGGTGCCAGCAGTGTGACTGGTGTTGGAAGAGGAGGCAAAAGTCAGGGTAAGGCATCCCTGGCCATAGGAACATGGAGAAGCTCGGTGGAAACTCAGTGGAAGCTTGTGCTCAGAGCCTGGTGTGTACTGGGAGGTGCACGGGTTTGCACCATCCAGCACAAACACACTGTGAGGGCTGGTTCAGGACCGCTCTGAACTGGTACCAGTACACAGCCCAGGAGCTGCAATGTCCTGTGGATGTCCAATGTCCAAGCTCCAAGCAATGTCCTGTGCTCTCTGGCCTCAGGTGTTCGAGCAAGGGCTGCTGCATCTTCCTTGTCAGCCTGAAATCCCTCCTGGACATGAGACTGCGATGACAGCACCGCCTAGTTAATGTACCCAGTGGGAAAACTGCTCCCCCCTGGGGCATCGGGGAGTGTGGGAACCGTGGGTGTGCTGGGGAGGTTCGCTTGTCAGATCCTGGACCCAGACCCGAGTGACAATGTGTGGCTGCTGTGCCGTGCAGGTCTTACCCTGGAACTGTTCCACTCGCTCTTGCTCCCCCCTCCACTGGGGCCCCTGCCGGGGTCTCTCCTCGGGTGTTCCTGGCTGCCCCCGGTGACTCTGTGGGGCGTGTCTGTGCCTTCAATGCTCAGGGACAGGCTGTTTTGGGACAAACCTCAGTGCCCTGGGAAGGGGAAGGTCTGTGTCCTGGCATCGTTATTCCCAGTGCCTGGCAGTGTTCCTCATGGACAGCACTGTCCTGCATGGCCCTGGCACCAGGGATGCTCAGGATAACTCAGGTGAGCTCCCACCTAGCTCTGGCCGGGATTCACCGTGCCTTGGGGACCCTTCCCCTGCTGGGGCTCAATCACCTCCCCTATTACGCTGAACGAGCCCTTGCTGGGGGTTTTGTCTTGTTCTTGCCAACTAGTGTTAAAAATGTTTTTTTCCTGACAGAGCTGGCAACTCCTTAACCTGAAATCTTTTTCCCCTCACAGGTATAATTTTAAAATTATTTCTTTTTTTTTTCTTTTTTTTTTTCTTTTTTTTTTTTCTGAAAGAATGAGACCGTGAGGAAAGTCCTTTGTTTAAATAACACAGAGAGATCTTTTATACACTTTCTAACCGTTAGTCACCTCCGGAAGGAGAGACCTGGAGCCTGGGCACAGCTGCTGGCCACAGGGTGCCATGCTCACCCAGCCTGCTGCCCACAACACCCACACCCTCGGTGCCAGAGCGGGCTGCCCGTGCCTCATCCCTTCAGCCCTCCCAGCCTACAGTGCCCAGCAGTGCTTTGAGCTGTGGCCGGAGCCAGCAGCATCCTTGGGAGCTCTGGGGCACAGGAGGGGCACAGGAGGGGCACAGGAGGAGCACAGGAGGGGCACAGGAGGGGCACAGGAGGGGCGGGTGCTCCGTGCCATGGGCTGGAGCAGGAGCTGCTCAGGGATAACGTCACTGCACTGAGCTGGTACCGCGTGCTGTGTGTGCTCCCTAAAGGAGAGCAGCAGCAGCGCAGGGCAGCGGCGCTGGGCTCTGCGGCTTCTGACAGCCCGGCACAAAGGGCAAGGGGCAGCACATGGTACTCCTATGGAGAGACCGTGCTACCTCATCAAAAAGTGTCTGGAACCGGCAGCGCTTACTCATCCTTACAAGGAGAAATTCACTGCCCTAATCACTGAAATGTCAAATGTCACACTGCGTGAAGTAGATTTCTCCTCCCTGGAGCACCTTGGAGACAAGAGCGCCTCACGTCCGAGTGCACAGCAGCCTCTCCTTCCAGAAGAACCGGGGAAGCATGTGGAGTTAACCCAGCCATCGTTTCCTGGGGATGCTTTTCCATTTTCAGTTCTTTAGTCTGTAAGATGGGGGAGCTGTTGCATTGGAAAAAATCGGCGGGGAGCGATCCTGCTCCTCCCCGAGCCCTCTGTCTCCTGTTCTCAGGGAGAGGTGAGAACGCTCCCCAGCTGTCCTGGTGGCCCCAGCTCCCAGGCTCGGGGCAAGCGGTGCAAAAGCTGACCCAGTCAGCGCTACTCCGGATTTTATTTAAGGTGATCTGGTGTGACATTTCTCCCTGGGGTGCATTGGTGGCTGCAGGTATTGGTGCCCTGGCCTTCGTGTGCCAGCCCCACACTGCCTGACCCTGCCAGAGAATGAGACCTCACACCCAAAACCACCACGGCGTGGGGGGCTGGTGGCAGGCTTATCCTCAAACAGGCTCACTGCATCTGATGAAGCCCAACCAAGATACTAAATAGCTGGAGTGCACCCATTTTTTTTTTGCAATTTTAGTCAAAAAACAACTTAGATTTAAAGTAATGAGTAAAATTATTGTAGTGTCTCCTTAATCTCTTAATAGATTTGTTCTTTGAGAAATAAGATAATGTGCTGATTTTTTTTTTTTTTTTTTTTAATTTCTTGAATGATTATATGAAGACTTCTATCTGTTGGCTTATTTAAGATCCTTTGTTTTCTGGCTTATTTCAGAAGTGCTTTGATTCTCAGGCACCATCTGGCGGATGAACACGGGGGAGCACTGAGTGTCCTGTCACGATTCTGCATCACACAAGCACAGTTGTGTCTGGGAAAGTGCAGAGACACAATTGGGAAAAGTTTGCTGTGCTGATAAGGAGCCTTGTCCACCTCAGCCCAAACCTCATGGACAGGCTCTGCCTGCCCTGGAGCCAGCACACGAGCTCAGGGCTCTCTTCAGGCAGCTTTGTGCCCCACACAATGGGTTTTCTCACCCCCATGGGGGCCTGGGGACACGAGCTCCCCCGGAGCATGGCTTGTTTAATTTGGAAATAGGGGCAGGAGGGAATATTATGGGAAGAAACAGATACATTGCAGGGCTGTGAATAGAAAATAGAGACTAAGCCCAGTCATAATTTAGAAA